AGGAAATAAGTGGACCTTTTTAATAGAATAGACTTTGCAAAGAATTAACAACATTTCCCTCATTTATTTGTTTTGTGTGTTTACCTGTGAGTGTATATGTTTGTGTACACACTTCGGTGCCATGGCATGCCTGTAGAGGTCATTGGACAACTTTTGGGAGTTCTGTCTTTTCACCATGTGGACTCTGGGATCAAATGCCAGTCAAGAGTCTTGGCAGCATATGCCATTATCCACTGAGCCATCTTCTTGGCCTTCAATCCCCTCCCCCTTGGGAAATAAATTCTTTTCAGGCTAGGTGGCAACACAAAGATTGGGTGATAGTGAGTCTTAACAGGTTGATTAAGGGATGATTGGACTTTTTAGTTGTCCCTTTGGAAGTGTAAGTGACAGTAACAGTAGTTAAAGCAGCTAGATCCACAAGTTGAAGCTGTGTGTTTAAATTGTAGCATTAGGTAGTATCACTGTGGAAATTTAAAATATTCTAAACATGTTTAATAACATTAGGTCACTTTCTTAACATTTGATAACATATTATGGAGTATGGCAGGTTGCTTGTTTGCTATAGTTGTTTAGAGTTGCAAAATTTTATGGCAGAGTATTTGTACAGGTTACATATTAGAAACTTGGTGAATTTTTAACCTGGCCTCAGATGCTGGACTCTTGTGAAAAGTGAAAAAAATTAGAGAATGTGTATTGTTGTAAAAATTATCTTTTACAGTTTTTGTTCAATCCTAGCACTAGGGAAGAAGAGACTAGCAGATTTCTATGAGTTTGAAGCCAGCCTGGTCTATAGAGCTAATTCCAGGACAGCCAAGCTTACACAGAGAAATCCTGACTTGAAAAACAAAATAGTAATAATAATAAAGTCTTTACATAGATGACATAGATGATTTTTCTTTCTTTTTCTTTTCTTTCTCTCCTTTTTTTCTAGACAGGGTTTCCTCTGTGTAGCCCTGGCTGTCCTGGAACTTGCTGTGTAGACCAGGCTGGCCTTGAGTTCACACCTCTACCTCCCTAGTGATGAGATTAAAGGCACCTGAGACATAGACACCTCTTCTGATTGTTGTGTTTTTTAAATGAAGTCTTCCTCTATGACTCAGCCTGACTTGTAACTCAACTGAGCACTCCTGGCCACCCCTCAAATGCTCATCTGTCCTACCTTTGGGGCACTGGGATTATAATCGTGAGTTTAGCTTCACGCTAAGGCTCTGAAAATGTCTTATGGGCCTAGAGAGATGTTTTTTAGGCCTATATATAATCCATTTCATTTTTTAATTTATAAGTAACTTTTTTTCCCTCTGGTAATGTGCATTGGTATTTTGCCATGGGTGTCAGGTCCCCTGGAACTGTAGTTACAGACAGTTGTGAACTGCCATGTGGGTGCTCGGAATTGAACCCTGGTCCTCTGGAAGAGCAGTCAGTGCTCTTAACCTCTAAGCCATCTCTCCAGCTCCCTCCCTCTCCCATGTTTTTATTTGCATTGGTGTTTTTCCTGCATATGTGTCTGTGTGAGAGTGTCAGGTTCCCTGGAACTAGAGTTACAGTCACATGTGAGCAGCCATGTGAGTGCTGGGAATTGAAGCCAGGTCCTCTAGAAGAACCAGCCAGTGCTCTCTACTGCTGAGCCATCTCTCCAGCCCTTCATTTTCACTTTTATATATTTCAAAATCTATTCTTCTGCCATTATTGATGATTAGTTAAATTGTGATCTAGGCTTATGTGAGTGTAACTGCAGTCCTTGGTTGAGTGGTTGAGTCAGACACTCTCCTGTGGAAATACTCTATATGTATTGGCCCATGAATCAGAATATACTACAAAGTCTCTGGGCTCTATCAACAAAATATCCATGTTGCAAATAACTATACTGGCAGTAAGAGGAGAGTTACAGATGCTGGAGATGGTTTGTCACCCAAGTGGATGTTATTGTTAAAACTGTGTTCTGAAAATGTATGCCCACATTTTCATAATTTCTCTGTAATCATGGGGACAAGATTTCATTACTTTAAAAAAGCAAAATTAAAAATATGTTAGCATTATGTTAGCTCATTAATTGGCCTTAAATTTATGGTGTGAAGGGTATTAATAGTTAGAATGTTTCAAGGACCTGTGTTCAATGCCCAGCAAATAAACAAACTTAGGGTTTCTATTGATGTGTAGAGGTACCAGGACCACAGCAACTTTTTTTTTTTTTTTTTTTTTTTTTTTCTCTTTTTCTCTTTTTTCTTCAGACAGGGTTTCTCTGTATTGCTTTGGAGGTTGTCATGGAACTTGCTCTGTAGACCAGGCTGGTCTCGATTTCACAGATATCCGCCTGCAAGTGCTGGGATTAAAGTCAGCCACCAACACCCAGCTGGAAGCAACTCTTATAATGGAAATCCCCTCCCCCCTAGTTTTTGGTTTTTCAGACAGGGTTTCTCTGTGTAGCCCTGGCTGTGTTGTAACTAGCTTTATAGAGCAGGCTGGCCTCAAACTCATGGAGATCTGCCTGCCTCTGTGCCACTACTGCCAGGCAAAGGAAAACATTTAATTTGGGCTGGCTTAAAGTTTAGAGGTTTAGTCTGTTCTTGTTATGCCTGGTAGCATGGTGGTATTCAGGCAGACATGGTGCTGGAGAAGGATATGAGACTTCTACATCTTGATCCTAAGGCAGCAGGAAGAGAATGCCTCACTAGGCCTGGTTAGAGCTTCTGAGACCTCAAAGTCCTTCCCCAGTGACAAAGTCACACCCACTCCAACAAGGCCACACCTCCTAATAGTGCCTAAGGGCCAAGCATTCAAACACATGAATCTAGGGGGCCATTCTTATTCAAATTACCACAGTGAGTAATAAGGAATTTGCTCACATTTTATGTTCAGCTTTTTAAAAATGTATCTATAAAATAAATATAAGGCACTAAACTGGGCCTGGTGGCTCATGCTTATAATTTTAGCCCTTAGGGGGCAAGAAGATTACCACAAGTTTAAGGCCAGATAGTTTCTTCTCCCCCTCTCTTTCTTTTTTTTTTTTTTTTTTTTTTTTTTTTTTTTTTTTTTGAGATAGTAACAGCTCTGGTTTTCCTGGAATTTGCTCTGTAGACCAGGCTGACCTTGAACTCACAGAGGTCCACTTGCCTCTGTCTCCCTAGTGCTGGGATTAAAAGTGCTAGCCACCATCACCAGGCTATCAAAGCTAATTTCAAGTCAGCCAGGACTACATAGTGAGACCCTGTCTAGAAAGACAGAGACAGGCAGACTGACTGATACACAAAAGAAAGAAAGATGGAGAGATAAAGAAAAAAAGCAAGCAAACCATAGCTGGGTGGTTTAGGGTTTAAGCTGTGCAGGAACTTAATGCATAGTCCCCAGTTGCACCACTCCTCAAAAATACAACTTTTTTGTATTAATAAAACTTATCTTGGAACCATTTAAACTTTATTCACTAATTTGGATAGAAATGTTTAAGCTTCATAATTCACACTCTAGATTTCTTTTTTCCTTTATTGAAATAATGGATCATTCTGAGCATCTGTCATTGGTGCTAGAATACTTAGAGAGGTTACCTCAAACTGTGCACTTATAATTATATTATAATAATAATAATAATAATATAATTTATTAACTTAGTACTTGTCCTTTAAAGTTGCTGTGTGTCCCCTGCTCTCAGGCATATTGCTTCTTGCTGTGGATTGTGTCTTGTCACAATGCCTATCGTGCACTTTGTCTTTTCTTCTGTTTACTGAACTTGAGCTGGAAAAGTCTATGTAATGAGTCAAGAAAGCTTGTTTGAGCTTAAAATGAATTTCTAAGAGAGAGTTTTTTTTTCCTAAGTAAATGGTATGAGCTTTAGTGTATGGAATTTGTATTATCCTGGCATTGTGTGCAAGCTTTTTTTTGTTGTTGTTGTTTAACTTCCGGATTCTAGATTATTATTTTTATTTATTTAATTATTTAATTTAATTTTTAATTTTTTTAGATTTATTTATTTATTATGTGTACAGTATTCTGTCTGCATGTTGCCTGAAGGCCAGAGGAGGGCACCAGATCGCATAATGGGTGGTTGTGAGCCACCATGTGGTTGCTGGGAATTGAACTCAGGACCTTTGGAAGAACAAGCAGTGCTCTTAACCATTGAGCCATCTCTCCAGCCCCTGATTCTAGATTATTAATGTCTAATACAACTTGGATAAATGTGGTCTTGAATAGCAAGTTATCTATGAAGCTTCTTTGAACTGTGCTATATAATTGAATCTGTTTTTGTTGTAAAGTAAATCTGTTCTAATCTGCATGTAAATCAATGGTAAAGAACTGAGCCTTCTGATAGGTGTTGTGTTGTTAACTGAGCTCAGCTCCCCATATTTTAGAGATTTCCTTTTGAACACTATACTAACCTGTGGTTTTGTTGCTTTTTGGTCATTTGTAATCACTTTGAATTCTCTCTCTCTCTCTTTTTTTTTTTTCCCCCGCGCCAGGGGTTCTCTGTGTAGCTTTGGAGTCTATCCTGGCGCTTGCTCTGGAGACCAGGTTAGCCTCGAACTCAGAGAGATCCGCCTGCCTCTGCCTCCCGAGTGCTGGGATTAAAGGCATATGCTACTACTGCCCTACTTTCAGTTCAACCTTTCCAGGGGGCTGGGGGGGTGTTCGGGAAGAGACAGAGATAGAGAGCACTTCCTGAAGTGGATGTTGGGAACTGAACTCCGGACTTCTGCTCTTAATGGCTGGGCCATTTCTCCAATCCCCAATATAAAATGTATCTTTTTTTTTTTTTTAATAAAGATTTAGGTAGAAAAGATTTTATTTACTGATCAGATATTTAAATAGTATGAAAAACTTATACATGTATTATTGTTTTTAATATAAGTTAGAAAATGAGTTGCTTTGAAGTATTAAAACAACTTACTTGTTTTTACTATTGTATAATCAGTGTAGGCTTTAAAAAATTGCATTAAACATTAGCCCAGGTTGAAGGTGAACATATGCTTTGTGCTATTTCTGATAATAGCTGATTTTTCTTTTCTTCTTAGGTAAGGCAGGCAACCAATCAGATTGTGATGAATTGTGCTGATATTGACATTATTACAGCTTCATATGTGCCAGAAGGAAATGAAGGTAAGACCTGATTTCCTTTAATTTGGTATGTGTAGAGAGACAGAGACTAACTGATTCAGATTTTCAAGTGGAGACTTCAGTGCTGATAATTTTAAAATGAGCCAGGCATGGTGGTGCATACCTGTAATCCCAGGAGTGGGAGGCTGAGGCAAGAGAACTATATGTTTCTGGCCAACTTGGTCTATGTGATGAGATTCTTGTCTCAAACATCAAAGCAGAGCATATTTGTGAGTTGTTTATGGGAATTATCTACATGTACTCTGAAATAAGACTCACAATTTGAATTCTGCTTGAAACAACTTATGTTGTTATCCTGGGAAATCACATTTTTATAAATGTAAAATGAGTATAATAACAAGCAGAACAAAGCTGATTTTTGTTTTGGTTTGTTTTTTAAGGCAGGGTTTTTTTGTGTAGCTCTGGCTGTTTTGGAACTTGCTCTTTAACTAGGCTGGCCTCGAACTCAGATTCACCTGCTGCTGAGATTAAAAACCTGTGCCCCCACCTCCCAGCAGGATTTTTTTTTTAATTAAGTACTTTGAACATGAATGTTTCATCAAAGGAGCTTATTTTTGTATGTAGTTTTCTTAAAAGACTTTACCACTTTGCACTGTATGTAGGTTTAATTGAGATTGTAAGTTTTACTTATAACTAGAAAAAATACTTGCTTCCTTAGCCAAGTTTTAAGATTAGAAGCTAGATACTGGTTTTAGTCATGAGGATGTTAAGAAAGAAGCATGGTGTATTTTGTGTGGGAACCCTATTAGCCTCTTTTTTTTTTTTTTTTAATAAAGATTTTATTTATCTGCCTATCTACACCAGCAGAGGGCACCAGATCTCATTCAAGGTGGTTGTGAGCCACTGTGTGGTTGCCGGGAAATGAACGCAGGACCTCTGTAAGAACAGTCAGTGCTCTTAACCCGCTGAGCTGTCTCTCTGGCCCCCTATTAGCCTCTTTAAAATGAGAACTATTGTAGATGTTGTAATTTCAAAAAGGTTGTAATATGTAATAGGTTTGGGGTTCAACTCTTTTTCCCACATAAGATGAATGGAACCAAATTGGTTACTTGCAGAAAATCTCATTTGACATAGAATAAGTTATTGAAACTTAAAAATTCCTATTTTTTTATTCTTCTGATTTACATTATGTTGAAAAAGAAGCATATAGGTTTATTTTAAGGTTTTGGGTTTGTGTCTTGACTCTTCTAAGCTGTCTTGTCAGTAGGAAGATGAGGTAGTAGTGGTTGCCCATACTGTTGCTGCAGTTAGTTTATGCTCAGTAGTTTGTGAGGTTGAACTGCTGCATTTTAAGTTTAGAAAAACTAGATTCTTCAAATAGAGTGCCAATTTTTGAAAGATTGCCTAGCAAAGGAAAGAATGATCAATTTCTTCACTTCTTTGGAAAAATGGAAAGGTTTGAGACAGTTAAATCAAGGCTAGCTTTCCGTTAGAGAACATTTAAGTCAGTGTAGGGTGTAGATAGGCAGATCTAGTAAAAATAAATATGGTATTTTAGCACAGTTAAGAAACAAGGCACAGGCCAGCTTGGTCTACAGAGGGAGTTCCAGGACAGCCAGGGTTACACAGAGAAACCCTATTTCTAAAAACCAAAAACAAACAAATGAATGAACAAACCAAAAAGCCCTAAGAACAAATACTTCCTTACTGCAGGAAAGTGTTCAGGGATTTAAAAGATTCTGAATATGTACAACTGCATGGTATTGGTATTAAACTGGCAATGATATGTGCTTTGAGCAACCTCAGTTAGTCATTAAAGCAGTGCACACTTAAGGAAATAGAATTTATAGAGAAATTCAGATAAAGCATTGCATTTTTTAGATACTTAAGATATTTTCCACTGGGCATTGGTGGCACATGCATTAATCCCAGCACTTGGGAGATGAAGGCAGTTGGATCTTTGAGTTTGGGGCCAGCTTGGTCTGTAGATTGAGTTCCAGGACAGACAGGTCTACACAGAGAAACCCTGTCGTGAAAAGCAAAAGAACAACAAGATTTTCCTTCAGAACTAGCTAAGGCACATTTCCAATCCTTTTCTCCTATAGCATCAGGAGAAACCCAGAGTCATGGGGAAGCTGGTTTGATATTAGAATGTAATTTGTAAAATGGTGATTTTATTGATTTGATATTTTAAGGTTTGTGTAAGCAGCAGGGATTTGGCCTTTACACATATACACACACACTCTCTCTCTCTCTCTCTCTCTCTCTCTCTCTCTCTCTCTCATACCCAATTTAATGTTGCCCTGGGATCTAGTAGCATTTTATGGTTTTTACCTTATAGAAGAGTATGACATGTTTTTTGTCCTTCCTTCCTTCCTTCCTTCCTTCCTTCCTTCCTTCCTCCCTCCCTCCCTCCCTCCCTCCCCCTCCCTCCCCCTCTCTCTCTTTCTTTCTTTCTAGATTTATTTGTTACGTATGCAGTGTTCTGCGGACATGTATGTCTACATTCCAGAAGAGGGCACCAGATGGTTGTGAGCCACCATATGGGTGCTGGGAATTGAACTCAGGACATTTGGAAGACCAGCCAGTGCTTTTAACTGTAGTCATCTCTCCAGCCTGGCATGTTGTTTCTTTAGAAACTGGTAGTCATAAATTAGACCCAGCTCTTTGTAGAGCTATCTGCTGGCAACAGGGAACATTTTAACCTAGCTAATCATATCAAGTACCCATTAATACTTTTGATTACCTTATGCAAGATTGACTCAGCCAGGCATGGTGGCGCATGCCTTTAATCTCAGCACTCGGGAGGTAGAGGCAAGTGGATCTCTGAGTTCTAGGCAAGCCAAGGCTACACAGTGGGACTTTGTCCCCTGCCCTCCCCCCCAAAAAAAATTGATTCCAATATCAGGAGCTACTAAAATTTGATGGTTTAGGGTAAAACCAGCCAGAAAAGTATTTGAAGCCAAGAAATTGCGGTGGTATAAGTTTTTAATGGGTGGAGAAGCCATCTTGTGATATATGCATTAATCCTGAGAGGCCATTAGATTCTAAGGCACTGTCTTTTTTAGGCATGGTTTATTAAAAAAAAAAACAAAAAACAAAAAAAAACTATTTGAGATCTTACTTTGTAATATATTTTTTTAAAAATGAGAAACTAGTAAGCGAAAACGGCTGAAAACTCTTTTTTTGCTGTTCTGCACTTCAAGGGTTGGTGAAATCACTAGCACTTAAGCCAGTGCAAGGAATGCACCTCCCTACACAGTGCAGGGATTAGTATTGTCATCAGCTTCTGCAAGAGAAATACGAAACTCTTGAGTGCCTGAACTCAGGTCCTGACAGGTAAAGAGTCTTTTAATTTATCATTAATAGACAGCTTGAGTAAAGCCACATAGAAAATGATCATTGAAAAATTTTGTGCCAGGTTTTCCCTTAGAGTATGATTTCTGCTATCTGCTTTCAGCGTTAGTGTGTGAGAAAGGATCTCTCCTATGAAGCGTCTCCATGCAAAGCCCCAGTGCAGAATTCCATTTTTTCCAGCTTCACTTTGGCTTATCTAGATAAGAGCCTAAATTACATTGTTCCTGAATGAAGTACAGTTGTATATTTGAATGTATACTTATGAAGTGTGGATGTGTTTACTGTAACAAAGGAATATTGCCAAATACATCCTCAAAACAAATTGTGAACTTGACAAAAAGTAATGATTCTTCACACTTGATTATAAGCCCTTGTCTAACTTCTAGTAATGTATATTCTCTCATAGAATTACGTATAGATAAATAATACTAGCTACCATCCTTTGAAGTGGGCTTATTTAATGTCATTATTTTGAAAATTCATGTGACCCTTAAGATGGGAAGACTGAAAATGAAAGCAAAATGTCTCTAAAACATATATTAATATGATAGAGAATTTCATGGAAACCTTTTCAATGGAAAGGAATTTGACTGTGACTTCAGTTCTAAGACAGGTTAGGGGCTTCAGTCAGAGTTACTATGTAGCCAGCCAAATAAGAAAATGACTGAATTGAGCTGGGATTAGGAAAATTTGATGGAACAGAAACTAGACTAAAAAGAATGCCTGTCTCATAAAAACATTTAAGGTTTGTAGGTATAGCTCAATGGTACAGTGATTGCCTAGCAGTTATGAGGCTCTAGGTAATTGATTCCCAGCCCAGCAAAATAAGTAAGTCAAACAATTAAAAATAAATCTATTCAAATTAAAACAACAACAACAACAACACAAAACTTGTGGAAGCTAAATATGGTGACACCTCTACTCCAGCACTCAGGACAGTGAGGCATGAGAATCACAAGGTTGAGGCCAGCCTGGACTACATGGTTGAGACCTAGGTCAAACCAATAAAAAGCCAAGAGAATCTCCTATCCAAACAAAACCTTTCTTTAATTCTTAACAAAATTACTCATTTATTTACCAGTGTTAAAGTTGGATTCTAGGGCCTCATGAGTGATAGGCAAGTGTTCTAACAACCCCAAAGAAAACATTTCTAGCCGGGAGATGGTGGCGCAGTCTTTAATCCCAGCACTCGGGAGGCAGAGGCAGGCGGATCTCTGTGAGTTCAAGGCCAGTCTGGTCTCCAGAGCGAGTGCCAGGATAGGCTCCAAAGCTACACAGAGAAACCTTGTCTCGAAAAACCAAAAAAAA